GGGGTGGCTGGGTGATAGACATTGGGGAGGGTATGTGCTATGGTGAGCGCTGTGAACTGTGCAAGACTGTTGAATCACAGGTCTGTACTTCTGTAACAAATAATGCAATATATGTTAAGAAAAAAAAAAAGATAGCAGGAGGGGAAGAATGAAGGGGAGTAAGTCAGAGGGGGAGACGAACCATGAGAGACGATGGACTCTGAAAAACAAACTGAGGGTTCTAGAGGGGAGGAGGTGGGGGGATTGGTTAGCCTGGTGATGGGTATTAAAGAGGGCACGTTCTGCCTGGAGCACTGGGTGTTATGCACAAACAATGAATCATGGAACACTACATCAAAAACTAATGTGATTAACATAACAATACAAAATAAAAAAAAAAGATTTGTGGGCCAAAGTACAGTGAGTGTTCCGTTTCAGACAGGAACCTTTCCTTCCCTTGCCTGCCGCCTGTTACTTCATGCCTGCATCACCTTTGAGTCTCCGACATAGAATTCACTGCGTACAGAGCCATGCAGTGTTACCAACCTGCAGGAGATAATAAAATATTTCCTGGGATTCTTGGGTAGTGATTGTCCTGAATAATTTAATATTCTGGCTAATCATTTACCTAAATGTCGTATGTGGATTACTAGTTTTCGGAGAATTAGAACATAATGAACTATCCTTAAGCACAACCTGAGAGTTATTTATTACATCTTCAAGATAGTTCAGGTGTCCCCAAAGTACAATGTGACATACAAGTGACCAGAATGCTTTTTGTACTTTGTATATACACAAGCTCTGAACAACCTTTTAAGAGAACGTAGACTTGCCATCTTCGTAGATACGTGAGGATTGGTTTTCAGACTTTGGCTGATACGCACCCGATGTTTCGAGTAGGGTTCTCAAGGCATTCTTACCGCTGTGTATTTCAGTGCTTACTGTGGAAAAGATATTTTCAAGCACCAAGCACGATCATTCCTTCACTGATGTTTGACTCTATTACGATGTTTGCAGCTAATTGCAGAGACGATATGACCTGCGTGAAAGAAGAGATCTTTGGACCAGTTATGTCCATTTTACCATTTGACACTGAAGCTGAGGTTCTGGAAAGAGCCAATGATACCACTTTTGGCTTAGCGGCTGGTGTCTTTACCAGGTATGTGGGAAAGGACACTCATGCAGCTTTGCAGAAATAGGGGACGGATGCTCGGTCTGCCCAGAGAGGCCACTGCCCTCATTTCCTCTCTGGAGTTGACATGTTCATCAGCATTTTCTGCCTGCTCCAGGTGAGGTCCGAAGGTGCCCAAGTAGGATCTCTCAGTTTGCCCTGAATGGCCAGAGCCCCTGCTGTTGAGTTTGTTTATTTGTTTTCTTTTTTTTATTCTTTAATTTTTAAAAATTTTATTTATTTATTTATTTGACAGAGAGAGAGAGAGCACAAGCAGGGGGAGCGGCAGAGGCAGAGGGAGAGACAGGCCCCCCACTGAGCAGGGAGCCCGATGTGGGACTCGATCCCAGGACCCCGGGATCATGACCTGAGCAGAAGGCAGACACTTAACGACTGAGCCACCCAGGCGCCCTATTAATTTATTTTCTTAAAAGATTTTTTATTTACTTATTTGAGAGAGAGAGAGAACGAGTTGGGGAGGGGGGCAGAGGGCAAGGGAGAAGCAGGCTCTCTGCTGAGCAGGGAGCCCGACCAGGGCTCAATCCCGGACTCCAGGATCATGACCTGAGCCAGCAGATAGATGCTCAATCAACTAAGCCACCCAGGTGCCCCTGCTGTTGAGTTTAAGATTTTTTTTTTTTTTTTTTTTGAGAGAGAGTGAGCGAGAGAGAGAGATCATAAGCTGCAGGAGGGGCAGAGGGAGCGGGAGAAGCAGGCTTCCCACTGAGCAGAGAGAGACCCCGACGCGGGGCTTGATGCCAGGACCCTGGGATCATGACCCAAAGCCGAAGGCACTCGCTTAACTGACTGAGCCACCCAGGCGCCCCCTGCTGTTGAGTTTAAATTGAGGTTTATTTTATTTTATTTTATTTTTTTAAAATTTGATTTATTTGGCAGAGAGAGACACAGTGAGAGAGGGAACATAAGCAGGGGGAGTGGGAGAGGGAGAAGCAGGCTTCCCTCGGAGCAGGGAGCCTGATGCGGGGCTCAGTCCCAGGACCCTGGGATCATGACCTGAGCGGAAGGCAGATGCTTAAGGACTGAGCCACCCAGGCGCCCCTAAATTGAGCTTTAAACAGTGTTGATGAACATTCTATCCTATTTCATTCATTCATTGGACAAATATTTAAGATTCTGATCTATGTAAAGCATCAGGTTGGGTGCCTACTGAAAACCTACATGTCAAGGAATTTAGAAACCTGTAAGCATATAAACACTGGGCAGTATTCTTCAAAAAGGTGATTTTTCGTGGCTTTAGAGTAATTCCTAATTGGAATGTGTTGTAAAATATGTAGGCCTTTTTTCAGTTGTTGCATATGTAGACTGTTGTTTCCAGTTGTAACTCTTGTAAGTAAAATTGTGATTAAGATCTTTGTACATAAACTTTAACCACTATAATACAAGTAAAAAGTGATTTGGGAACAAAATTTCCTTGAAAATGATTGCAGATTGCTTGATCATATACAAACTTTGATTAGTCTTTGGCAGTCCTAGGCAGTTCTCCAAGACTGCTTTACACTTGGAATTATGCTGTTTCTTTGGGATATATACAGGGTTCAATTTTTTCTTAGTTTTGTGATGAGGAACCTGGGAAGGAAGACTCAGGACCCCCTGGAGGGTCTGATGAATGAAATAGCACTGGGGCACCTGGGTGGCTCAGTTTGCCTTCATCTGAGGTCATGATCCCCCAGGTCAGGCTTCCTGCTCAGTGGGGAGCCTGCTTCTCCCCCCCTCTGCCCCTCCCCCTGCTTGTGCTCTCTCTCTCTCTCGCTCACTCTCTTTCAAATAAATAAATAAAATCTTAAAAAAAAAGAAATAGCTTCTCTTGGAGCTCTGGAGAAAGAAAAGATTGAGGAGCTGCTGCTTTTTTGTTTGTTTCTTTTTTTTATTTATTTTTACTTTTATTTTTTTATTTTTTTATTTTTTTAGATTTTATTTATTTATCAGAGACAGAGAGACAGAGGCAGGCAGAGGGAGAAGCAGGCTTCCTGCGGAGCAGGGAGCCTGATGTGGGACTCGATCCCAGGACCCTGGGACCATGACCTGAGCCGAAGGCAGACGCCCAACGGACTGAGCCACCCAGGCGTCCCTGTTTCTTTTTTTTAGAGTAATTTTAGGTTCACTGCAAAACCGAGTGGAAGGCAAAGCACAGAGATTTCCCATTTACCCCACCCCCCCACCTGCCGTCATCAGCGTCCCCCACCCGAGGGTACATTGGTTGTAATTGATGAACCTACTTGAACACACCGTAATTGCCCGAAGACCACAGTGACGTCAGGGTTTACCCTCGGTGTTGTGCACCCTGTGGACTTGCACAGCGGTATCCACCGTCAGGATAACACGCTGACTAGTAGTGTCAGGGCCCTGTCAGTCCTCCCTGAGGAGCTGCTTTTTCCCTGTGAGCACCGAATGGGTTGTCTCTGCTCTTGCTTTGCCGCCACAGGACGGATGGAGGCGCTCACAAAGGGTGACTCAGTATGCTGTTACTGTTTTAACACTTTATAGGATAATTCATGTACCGTACCCACTGTTAATTTACCCATTGTTTTTCAGTGTATTTACAGAGTTCTGCAAGCATCACCATAATCTGATTTTAGAACATTTTCATCATCCCACGAACATGAGCAGCCATTTCTCAATCTCCCCTCCCCCCAGGCCCCGGCCACCCCTAATCTACTTGCTCGCTCTACAGATTTGCTTATTCTGAATATTTTATGTAAATGGAGTCCTACAGTATGTGGCGTTGTGTGACTGGCTTCTTCGACTTAGCAGCATGTTCTCTCGGGTCTTTGTGTTGTAGCAGGTGCCTGTACCTCATCCTATCTCCAAATAATATTCCGTTGCGTGGGTACATCTTGTTCATTCACCTGGTGGACATTTGGATTGTTTCTACTTGTTTGCTATTATGAATAATGTCTCTGTGGACACTTGTATCTGGGTCTCTGTGTGGCTGTGTTTCATTTCTGCCTGTGGCACATCCCTAGAAGTGGAACTGCTGGGTCACATGGTGCCTCTGTGCTTAGCTCTCTGGGCACTGCTCAGCTGTTCCCCCAAGAGGCAGCACCACCTCACGTGCCCACCATCAACGTGGCGGGGGGCTGGTTTCTCCGCATCCCCATCCGTATCCGGGGCAGCCCTTGCTACTGTGTGGCCTTTTGGTTTCCGCCATCCTGCTGGGTGTGAAGTGGTGTCTCAGTGTGGTTTTTTGTTTTTTCTTTTTAAGATTTATTTATTCAGGGGCGCCTGGGTGGCTCAGTCGTTAAGCGTCTGCCTTTGGCTCAGGTCATGATCCCAGGGTCCTGGGATTGAGCCCCGCATCAGGCTCCCTGCTCAGCGGGGAGCCTGCTTCTCCCTCTGTGTGCTGCTCCCCCGGCTTGTGCGCTCTCTCTCTCTCTCTGACAAATAAATAAAATCTTTTTTTTTAAAGATTTTATTTATTTGAGAGAGAGAGAGAGAATGAGAAAGAGAGAAAGCACATGAGAGGGGAGAGGGTCAGAGGGAGAAGCAGACTCCCTGCCGAGCAGGGAGCCCGATGCGGGACTCGATCGAGGGACTCTAGGATCATGACCTGAGCTGAAGGCAGTCGCTTAACCAACTGAGCCACCCAGGCGCCCCAAATAAATAAAATCTTTAAAAAAATTTTTATTTATTTAAGAGAGAGAGAGCATGAGCAGGGGGAGAGGGAGATGCAGACTCCCTGCAGAGCAGGGAGCCCGATGCGGGGCTCCATCCCAGGACCCTGGGATCATGACCTGAGCCGAAGGCAGATGCTTAACTGACTGAGCCCCCCAGGCGCCCCTCAGTGTAGTTTTGATTTGCATGCCTCGAAGTTGTCTTTTTCATTTTCTCGATAGTCTCATTTGCGGTACAAAAATTGTAAATTTTGACCAAGTCCCATTCTGGTTTTTTCTTTTTGTCTGTTACTTTTGGTACCATGTCTAAGAAGGATTTATCTAGCCCAGGGTCCTGAAGATTTATTCCTGTTTTCTTTGAAGAGTTTTATGGTTTTTGCTTTGATGTTTTAGGTCTGTGACCTGAGTTCATATTTATATGTGCTGTAGAAAGGTATTGACCTTCCTACTTGCTGGATGTGTGGATAGCCAGCTGTTCCAGCACTATTTGTTAAAAAGACTCTTTTTCTCCCCATCGAAGTGTTTGGCCTCCTTGTTGCTGCTGCTTATTTTATAGATGCTTTCGGATGAGACTCTCAAACTCAAGTCCTTCTCTCTTTTGCAGGGATGCCACAAGATTTTAAAACACATTGTGAGGAAATGAGTTGGCAATACTTTGAGACCTTTAGAACTGGTAGTCTAACTTTTCCTGTTAGAGCAGGAGCAAAAGAAACTATGAATAACCACGTTTTGTTTGTTTTTTTTGCTTCATAGGGACATCCAGCGCGCTCACAGAGTGGTGGCCAGGCTGCAGGCCGGGATGTGCTTCATTAACAACTACAACGTCAGCCCAGTGGAGCTGCCCTTCGGCGGGTATAAGAAGTCAGGTGAGGCGCTGGCTGGCAAGCGCGAGGGCAGACCGGGTCTCTGGGGACATGGGGTGTCATTCAGACTCTACAGACCAGCTTCCCAAACATGGCTGTGCATCAGAATCAGCTGGGACAGTGTCCTGATTCCTGGTCCTCCCCAGACCCACACAAGTCTCTGGGGATGGAAGCCAAGCAACTCCCCCCCCACCCCAAAAAGCTCTCCAGAAGGTTCTGACGTGTATACAGCTTAGCTTGTGAACGGCTGGCAGACATCTCGAAAAAGTTTATCTCGTGGCTAGAATTAGTTCTTCACAGTCTGTGATCGCTGGAGGCATAAATCCACTCCCAGAGATTCCATACTAGGGATGGTTGTTGTCATCCACTGCGGAGCGTTTTTTTAAATTAAAGATTTTATTTATTTATTTGAGAGAGGATGAGAGAGAGCCTGAGAAAGGGGAGGGTCAGAGGGAGAAGCAGACTCCCCGCAGAGCAGGGAGCCCGATGCGGGACTCAATGGTCATGACCTGAGCCGAAGGCATCGCTTAACCAACTGAGCCACCCAGGCGCCCTCACTGTGGATTTTTTAATTTAATTTTATTTTATGATTTTATTTTATTTTACGATTTGATTTTTAAGATTTTACTTATTATTTGAGAGAGTGAGCACAAGCAGGGGAAGAGGGGCAGAGGGAGAATCCGACTCCTCGCTGAGCAGGGAGCCCGACGTGGGGCTGGATCCCAGGACCCGGGATCATGACCTGAGCTGAAGGCAGACACTTAACCTCCTGAGCCACCTAGGTGCCCCACTGTGGAGTTTTTAGATGTAAAGTGGCTCTTACATCTCAGAAAGCATATATTAACTTGTTTTTAACAACAATGACAGCCCCTAGGGTTACAACCAGAAATGTTGTCCCTAAGCTGCTGCCCGTCGCTTACGTGGACTCGGTCAGTTGGGCACGCGTTACTGTAACATGGCGCATGTGGAAGTCCAGTGTGAGGAGGAGCCTCGAGGCGTCCAGGATAGAGCCCTTACTTTGAGGTTCTCTCTTTGGAGCTTATTGCCTGTAAATATTCTCTATAATCTCCCATATCTTTCCCTGAAAATCGGTTTCGACTTTGTAGCAGCACCATGCTAAGAGCCTGACCCCTGGCCTCTTGGCTCGTGTTTGTGGCCATCACAGTGTTGGCAAACAGACCCCGAGGAGAGCCGATGAGATGATGGGTATTAATCTGAGAGTTTGATTTACTATGTTTTGTTATTACCCCGGCATTCCCTGGTCATGCTCCACTGATCACCCTCGTCCCTGCACGGGGCCCAGAGGAGCTGGGCACACAGGCACAGAGTGCAGAGTGGGATCCAGGGCGCTGCTTTATTAAGCTAGAACCCTCGGTGCAGGGAAAAGTTTGGAATCTACAGTGTAGGCCTCAGAGGGCCCTCCTAGGCCAGCTTTCCCTTCCACAAATCGAAATGTTTGGATCCGTGCGCTCAGGCTTGTCTCGTCTTGGATGAGAGAGAGACCGAAATGTGGCCAGATCTGAGGAGCAACAACCTGGACTAACCCACCCAACTAGCTCTGTGCTCAGAGGGTGTGAAAGGGGACAAAGGACAGAGCGAGGCCTTGCCAGAGCCACTGTAGAAGTCACCTTTTGAATAATGTCCCTGGAGGCATGGATGTGTGGGGACCGGGCCTTGCCCTTTGGAGGCAGAGCCTACCTAAGCCTGAGGCAGGATGACAAGAAATGCCAGGTGTGGGATGCTGTCCTTGTGACGTGTGACTTAGTGACCAGGCAGTGCTTGGACTTTGAGTAATCTGCGCTACCCGAAGAGTCCCCTGCTCCTGTGAGTTGATGGGGTATAAACAGCAAGCTGCTCTTAACAGATCTGGTGTAAGAAAAGGTTGAAAATTCTATTATGTAGAGTTAAGTTTTAGTGAGCACCAGCTTTTTTTTTTTTTTTTTTTTAGTTTGTTTTTTTTTTTTTGGGGGCGCCTGGATGTCTCAGTCGGTGAAGCATCTGCCTTCAGCTCAGGTCATGATCCTGGGGTCCTGGGATCGAGCCCCGCATTGGGCTCCCTGCTCAGCGGGGGGTCTGCTTCTCCCTCTCCCTCTGCCCCCTGTTCCTCTTGCTTGTGCTCGCTCTCTGAAATAGAAAAAAAATCTTTAGAGATTGATTGATTTATTTTAGAGAGTGTGCACGGGTGTGCACACAAGTGGGGGGAGAGGTAGAGGGAGAGAGAACATCAAGCAGACTGTGTTTTCCACATTTTGTTGCTAAGATGCCCTTCCCCATTTGGACCTATGCAATCAGATCTTTGTATCTCTATTAAGTTTCATAATCTCAAAGTTAGTCTATAAGGTTAGCTCTTAAGCAGTAGAAGTAATCTTTTTTCTTTTTCTTTTTTTTTTGAGAGAGAGAGAGAGCAGGGCAGAGGGAGAGGGAGAGAGAATCTTAAGCAGATTCCACGCCCAGCATGGAGCCCGACGCTGGGCTCCACCTCACGACCCTGAGACCATGACCTGAGCTGAAATCAAGAATCAGGCGCTCAACCGACGGAGCCACCCAGGCGCCCCAAGTTAGCACCAACTTTCAAAGGCGTCCGTCGGTTGTTGTAGAGACTGCTTTCACACTGGATAGGAAAGCCTGAACGTTTTCAGATCTCAGCCACAACGGTACATACCTAAGTTAGGATTCCTGTCGTAGAAATGAGACGTGGCTATTGCCTTGGCTCCCTCCCCGAAGGCCAGTGGGTCACTTTTATCCGTGCCTGGCTCCACAGCTGGTATGGGCAGTTGAGGACTTCGTCCCAAACCTTGTCAGTTGTGTGTTCCTCCCCCTGCTGGGGTCAGCCGGGCCTGTCCTTGCCGGTCACCATGACTTTTCAGTCACGTGGCTCATCCTCAGCCCGCTCTTCCTTTCAGGGTTCGGCAGAGAGAATGGCCGCGTGACGATCGAGTATTATTCACAGCTGAAGACTGTGTGCGTGGAGATGGGTGATGTGGAATCTGCCTTTTGAGAACGTGCGGCGTGGCCAGGCGTGGAGCGAGGCCTGACCTCGATAGAGGCCGGACAGCTGCCTTCTGTTGCAAACCCAGAATTGTGCCTTTCGGGGTAAGAGGATGGCTCGGTGTCCTTCATGTCTCAGTCCCTTTCCTATGAAAATGTGCCTAAGTGCCTTTGAGATACTAATCAAGGAAGTTGTGATTGTGCTCAAAGCCAGTGTCTGTGAAATCTTTAACACCCTTCTGGAGAACAGGGGGAGGGACCAGGATTATGCTTCTCCCACAGATCTGACCCCCTACAGTGCTCAAAGAACGGGTTCCTGGTTCAATTCCTGGTGGAGTCAGTAGAGATCATTTTCTGCTCGTTGACATTTGTAAGCTCTGGGCCCTTGTCATTCCATTGAGAATGGCGACCGTCAGGATCACACTGACGGTCACGTTCTGCGTGATGGTCACCTCGCCAGAGGAAGCACTTTGTTTCCCCTCGGTGCTGGTGGAGGAAATCGATCTCCGGCCCTTGCACGACGGACAGCCTGCCCTCTTTTTTAAATACACAGACTCGCTGTATGCTAGTGCAGCACACCGAAATGAAATAAATCGCGCTGCTAATCCTTTCAGCTTCATGTTTTAAAATGAAGCCCATCTCCAGGGAATGCTAGTCCACAGAATAGGGCTGAAGTTCAGTGTGTAAGGCGGGGATTTGTCCTTTGCACTCGGGACACAGGGATGGGCTTTCATTGCCTCATGGATGCTTATGGCCCATGGGAACTTGTAGGCTTTGTGTCCTTCCCCATCCTGACACGCAGCGCCTGTCTTTGCAGAGCTGTCAGACCACGGCGACTTCTCAGCCTTCACCCTGCTCCTTTCTCTGCCTTTTAGGGAAATAGTTATGTCCGTTAGCTGCATTAGTCAGGGTTGTCCAGAGACACAGTACCATAGAATAGAATAAGGGAACAGGTAGGTAGATATAAGGGAAGATTTATTCTAAGAATCAGCTCACATGATCATGGAGGCTGAGAAGGCCTCCCCTTCTGCCATCTGTAGGCTGGAGACCCAAGAAAGCAGGTATTGGGACGCCTGGGTGGCTCAGTCGGTTAAGCATCTGCCTTCGGCTCAGGTCATGATCCCAGGGTCCTGGGATTGAGTCCTGCATCGGGCTCCCTGCTCTGTGGGGAGCCTGCTTCTCCCTCTGCCTCTCATGAATAAATAAATAAAATCTTAAAAAAAAAAAAAAAAAAAGGAAAGCAGGTATTGTGATCCAGTCTGAGTCTGAAGGCCTGAAAACCAAGGGGGCAGAGGGTCTAAGTCCCAAGTCCCAAGGCCCGAGAACCAGGAGTGCTGGCGTCTGAGGGCAGGAGGAGATGGATGTCCCAGCTCAAGCAGAGATCGAACTCCCCTATTCTCCATCTTTTTGTTCTGTCTGGGCCCTGAATGGATTGGGTGATGCCCACCCACACTGGGGGAGAGCCATCTGCTGCGCACAGTTCACCAGCTGCTGATAACTTCTGGAAACCTCCTCACAGGCACACCCGGAAACCATGTTTTACCAGCCGTCTGGGCATCCCTTAGCCCAGTCAGGTTGGCACATGAACAGCACAGTAGCTAATTTAGTGGTCAAGGGTAAGGGATAGTTCTCCCTACAGGGCCCACATCTAATGGTGTATTATGATGGGTAAACGCCATAGTTTCAGGGATAACGGCTGCATCAGCGTCTTGGGTGTTTATTTGCACAGAGGGCACGTAGGAGAAGACAGGCTTCGGCAGTTCCTCTAAAGGGAAAACGGCAGCGGAGGGGAGCCGCTGTGTGCCAACTGCCACATCCTTCTCATTTCGTGCTCCCGCTGAATTACAAAGGCGTGGTAGTAGCCCCGATGTTCAGAAGAAGGAACAGAATCGGAGAAGCCAGGTGGCTGGGACTTCAGTTCTGGTGCTTCCTGCTATCCTCCCCCCAGTCCTGGAACTTCAGTGCTGTGTGCCGGTCTCCTAGGACTGCTCTGACACATGACCATGAGCCTAGAGACTTGAAGGCCAAGGGAGTTTCACTGCGCAGAAACCCAGGGGTTGGCAGGGCCCCACTCCCTCCGGAGGCTGCAGGACAGAAGCCTTTCCCTCACCTCGTCCTGCGTGCTGAGCGACCCTTGCATTCCCTGGCTCACGGTCCCTTCCTCTGTCTCTAAGGCCAACAGCTTAGCAGCTTCAGTCCCTCTGCTGCCCCCTGACAAGGACTCGTGTGATGGCATTTAGAGCCCACCAGAGTGCCTGTAATCCTCTCGCAGCTCTAGCTCCTTCATCACATCTGCACGTCTCTTCCTGCCTTAGAAGGGAACTTTCTGGATTCGGGTTGGGGGCAGCTTTCTGCAGTTGCCCCAGCCCACGCTGTCCACAGTGCGTCCCAGGAGGCCACCAGCTATGGTCCTTCACACGTTTACCAGAAGAGTAATAGGTACAAAACACACTCAGGAAACACCAACTTGACCGGGAGGTCAGGCCTTCCTCTGATTTGGAAGAAGTTAGGTCCTCTAGCGAAATTCTCTTAGACTCGCCTTCGTTTTTTTTCTCTATGGTTATTTTGATTCACTTTTTGAAAGTTGCGCAGAAGGACCCCCTTCTTCCTCCCTCTCCGTCTAATCTTCTCTCCCAGTGGTAACTACGGTTAACTTTTGGGTGTGTACCTCTCCTGGGATTTTCTCAAAATGGGTAACTGCAAACTAAGCCCGTCTCCCGATGGCTATACGAGCTGCTGCTTCTAAGACAGTGGCCACTTCCCGCCAGGTCCAAGGGTCCTTTTGCCCAGTTCAGGAGTTCATTAGCCATTTGCTTTAGAATGGAAAATGGAGCTTTTCTCAAAACGGAGGCTCTCACGTCCTGAAGTTTCATATAGTTCCAGAAATGCAAACTCCCGGAGCCAGAACCGTCAGGCCGCTGGGCTCATGGGAAGTACTGTTTGCATAAGTGAATGGATCAGAGGGCTGGGTTAGCCTTGCTACTCACGGTGGCCCAGGGACCAGCAGCGTCTGCTTGTGAGAGCCCCAGAATCTCCGTCCCCCCTCAGACCTAAGGATCTGGATCTGCATTTTCACAGGAACCCCCCAGGGGATCTTATGCTGCTCTTAGAGCAATGGTTCTCAACTTTGGCCGTACATAAGTGCCCAAAGAAAGCTTCAAATTTAAGATGAATTTAACTGATCTGGGGTGTGGCCTGGTCATCTAGATTCTTGAGGTCCCTGCGAAGCTGAACTCAGCAGACTGGTTGAGAACCGCGCATGGCTTTACCGGGGTGCTGCGTGAGTTCAGTAACTGCTAGCCACATGTGGCTGCTTACGTTTAAAATGAAATAAAAGGGCGCCTGGGTGGCTCAGTTGGTTAAGCGACTGCCTTCGGCTCAGGTCATGATCCTGGAGTCCCGGGATCGAGTCCCACATCGGGCTCCCTGCTCAGCGGGGGGTCTGCTTCTCCCTCTGACCCTCTTCCCTCTCGTGCTCTCTGTCTCTCATTCTCTCTCTCAAATAAATAAAATCTTAAAAAAAAATAAAATGAAATAAAAATTCAGGTTTTTACTTGCTTTAGCCACATGTCAGGTGCTTAATGCTGCACATGGGTAGTGGGTACTATATTGGACAATGCAGGTGTCCCGTCTTTCCACGGTGTCAGAAAGTTCTGTCGGACAGGGCTGCTTTCGAGGGAGGGACCCGAGACACTGTTCAGTTTCGAGTGAGTTAGGAGACCACCTTTGGACGCAAGGGCTGGGAGGGATGAAGAGGGGAGTGGGGCGAACCCTGGAATGGGGGCTGCTTAGACCCTAAGAGGGTAGTAGGTCACCTGGATGCTGCCTCCTGATGCATGAAGCTTCACCAGCAGGTGGCGCCCGCGCACCCCACACCTTGTGCTGGAACCGGAGGGGCCCTTGGTCTGGGGTGCACAGTGCGTGTGCTGTCGACTGAGCTCAAGAACTTTCTATGGTAAGTGTTACCATTAACCCCAACTTACAGCTGGGTTAACTGAGGCTTAGGGAGGCTAATAAACCTGACCAAGGGCACACAGCTCCCCGCGGTGGGGGGGCCCTCTGCGGTGCAACGTGGAGTAATTAGACCTGCGTGGTTCTCTAGTTTCCATCTACAGCAAAGCCCAGAATGTTTCTCTACAGAAATAAACCGACTCTTCGGAACATACATGGCCTGAGCAGCAGTGAGCGGCAGTACTTAACACCAAAAATTTTTTTTCTCCATGAGACAAAGGAACAGAAAGTAGCTCATAAGACATAGTTATTCTCTACGGCAGAGATCTACACACTGGATTCCGCCGAGCCCTGGGTGTGCGGGGGGCTAACGGCACTGTTTCACGTGTTGGGGTTCCTTATACAACCTCATTTGAGCCCGTTCTATAATAGAATGACAAAGATGGATCATGTGACTTCGAAAAGCATCCTGTCAAGACTTCCAACAAAGGTGAAAATGTCACATCGTCCCCAGGCCACCCCCGTGCTGCTTCCCTGATGCCCATACTCTGTGTGACGAGAAGGGAAACCACAGCAAGTTCTCTAATCTGAGGTGCACTTCTTATGAAAAAATAAACACGAGAAACAAAAACCAAAAAAAAACAAAACCATAACCCTAGCCTATTGTAAAGTCTTAATTTTTTTCAAGCTGGACCCAAAATACCATTCATCATCACCATCATTTTGCAAAGGACATTTTAATATAAAAAAGAATACAAGTTAAAGCTTTATGGAAACAGTCCTCATTTTCCATCTTTTGCTCCATGCTGGGGAAAAGGTCTCCTGACTATGGTAGAGTGTATACTGCTGGGCTCCAGGTGGTCATGTGGCCACGGCTGACTGTCCAGTCACTGAGCAGAGCATTCCAGCCTTAAGTGATGGAGTACAGTGGGAAAAGCATGGATTTTAGAGTCGGGCCCGGGTGCAGGCCCCATCTCTAACCCTCATGGGCTAGTGAGTGCTTGAAATGTGATGAGAGCAACTACAGAACTGATTTTTACTTACATTTTATTCATTTGATTGTAGACAGACGTACGTGAGCTCGTGGCTACTTTACTGAGCAGCACAGGTGTGAAAGGGAGAGAATCTTAAGCAGGCTCCATGCCCAGCACGGAGGCCTATGTGGGGCTCAATCTCATGACTCTGAGATCAAAATCAAGACTCGGACACTTAACCGACTGAGCCACCCAGGTGCCCCAATCGAAGCAGTCTTTAATTA